GAGATGCCCAGGAACAGCCTGCTAAGCTCTGCAGGGGTGGGAAGAGAAGCTGTTTTCAGCCTGTTTGCAGCCCAACCCTGCAGGAGCCCCCCAGGCAAGGACAATATCCGTCAGCAGGCAACAACCGGTCTACGGGCCAGAGGCGCTTCACCACGGCTAACCCCTGGCAGGCTGCCACTGCTGTATTTACGCGCATCTCCCTCCCTGACTGGGAAGGCAAATGGAACGTCATGTTGATAAATTTAAAGTAATGCACATTAGAAAAAATAATCCCAACTACACATACACAATGGGGATTAATTTAGTTACAACTACTCGAGAGAGAGCTCTTGGAGTCATTGTGGGGAGTTCTCCGAAAACACCCACTCAGTGTGCAGAGGCAGTCAAAAAAGCAAACAATGTTAGGAATCATTAAGAAAGGGCTAGAGAATAAGACAGAGAATATCTTATTGCTGCTATATGAGGTGGTTGTCTCATCTGAAAAAAGATCTATTGGCATTGGAAAAGGTTCAGAAAAGGGCAACAAAAATGATGAGGGGTTTGGAACAGGTCCCATGTGAAGAGACATTAAAGACTGGGACTTTTCAGCTTAGAAAAGAGGAGACTAAGGGGGGATATGAGAGAGGTCTATAAAATCACGAGTGGTGTGGAAAAAGGAAATAAGGAAGTTACTTATTTACTTATTCTCAAAATATAAGAACTAGGGATCACCAGATGAAATTAATAGGCAGCAGGTTTAAAACAAATCAAAGGAAGTTGTTTCTTTCCACTCAGTGCACAGTCAACCTGTGGAACTCCTTGCCAGAGGATGCTATGAAGACCAGGACTTTAACAGGGTTCAAAAAAGAGCTAGATAAGTTCATGGAGGTTAGGTCTGTCAATGGCTACTAGCCAGGATGGGTAGAAATGGGGTCCTTAGTCTCTGTTTGTCTGGAAATGGATGACAGGGGAGGGGGTCACGTGATGATTATCTGCTCTGTTCCCTCCCTCTGGGGAACCTGGCGTTGGCCACTGTGGGCAGACAGGATCCTGGGCTGAATGGACAGTTGGTCTGACCCAGGCTGGCCACTCTTATGTTCTTACCTCTGCAGGGCCAGGCAACTGCAGCTCCCACTGGCTGAGGTCCCAGTCCGTGCCACTTCCTGCAGCTCCCATTCATAGAATCCTAGAATACTAGGACTGGAAGGGACCTCAAGAGTCATCGAGTCCAGCCCCCTGCCCTCATGGCAGGACCAAATACTGTCTAGACCATCCCTGATAGACATTTATCTAACCTGCTCTTAAATATCTCCACAGATGGGGATTCCACAACCAAAAAGAAAGATGTGGAGACATTGCAGAAGGTTCAGAGAAGAGCAACAAAAATGATGAAAGATCTAGAAACTATCACCTGTGAGGGAAGACTGAAAGAATTGGGCTTGTTTAGTTTAGAAAAGGGAAGACTGAGGGGGGACATGAGAGCAGCTTCCAAGTATCTAAAAGGGTGTTATAAGGAGGAGGGAGAAAAATTATTCTTGGCTTCTGAGGATAGGATAAGTAATGGGCTTAAATTGTAGCAAGGGAGGTTTCGGTTGGACATTAGGAAAAATTTCCTGTCAGGGTGGCTGAGCACTGGAATCAATTGCCTAGGGAGGTTGTGGAATCTCCATCTCTGGAGATATTGAAGAGCAGGTTGGACAGACACCTGTCTGGGATGATCTAGATGGTGCTTGGTCCTGCCATGGGGGCAGGGGACTGGACTCGATGACCTCTCGAGGTCCCTTCCAGTTCTAGGATTCTATGATTCCCTATTATTGCCACTGAACTCACTTGAGTATGAGTTATTTTACCGGGTGTCCCATATTCAGCTTAGGGAAATATGATCACCCTACAAATAGTCAAAATGTCCTGTCACTTGCATCACTATCTAGCTGAGAGATTTGGGTTAAAACGACAAGTTGCTGAACTCTTCTGTACCTCACGCTGTCATTCCAACATGATTCCATCTTCATTCTTGTAATGCTAGCTCCTAAGGATTTATAAGAACGTACGATCCAACATAGAAAGTTTCTCTCTCCTAACAGAGAGCAGGCAGATAAGATGTCATTCCTTCTTGGAGGGCTGGCTTCTCTTTCCTCCCCAGGCAGAGTTTGCCTGGAGAGAGACGGGCAAATTCAACCTGGAACTAAAGCTGGGGTAACTCTTCTTCCGCCAATACGTTCCACACCAGCTCTGAGTTTCTCTCATTAATATTTAGACCCAAACTTACTGTGAGTTCTAATCTGGATTCTGGGAAACAGTTTTGATAAAGAGGAATTGTGTCTATCTTGGATCTTTAATAACCTCAGCAGTGTCGTGACTTGTTTCCATTTCAAGATTCTATTAAACAACCTGTGAGATGCTAAATGAAATTTACTTGATAAAAAGCCAGTCTGGAAGATGCAAACGATTAATGTGTCTTTTGCTTTTTGAGCAGTAAATGCAGATCAAGGTCCCTGCCTCAGCAAATCTTTCTCAACTCTCCAACCTCATAAATCCAGCTGAGCTGTCCAGTTTTATGGAGGTTCAGGGACACACGAGAGCAGAAAATCCTTTAGTGCATCGGCTATAAAATGACAATATGTATATGCACAACTGACACATTCAACGGTTTACATGACACTCAACTGCTCTGACTTCCCTGGTTACTGGCTGGACACAATCTTTTTATGGCTTTTATTTTGTGAGATTTTGTTCAATAATTCTTTGGTCCTAAAAGAAGAAGTAAAAATTGTAGGTTCTTTGCACTAAAACAGCACACCAAGAATACCATGGAAAAAACAACAGCCAATGAGGAGCAGACGCAATCGACGATTTATTTACAGAAGGCAGGACAGAAGGCAGGACAGAAGGACGTGGATATGCTAATCTCCTCTAGCCCTTTAAATATGCGTCAGGAGAGACCTTCTCCACTAGATGAGTGGGGATAAAACCCTTCACAAACCACCCTCGAGAGAATGGATTTCTGGATACGGACACTTCCTATACACAGGGTCAAAAACCAGCTAGACAGAACTACAGCTAGGGATGTGAAAGGTTAACTAGGGGTGGGGGACTGGAGATGCTCCCTGCCTGCCAGGCCTACAGTTGGACTCCCCAAAGCAAAACAAACTTTGACATGACACGCTGGCCACAACCCCTATAAAAACACCCAGTCGTGGCCAGCTCATGGACACCACAATATGTCGCGTCTTTCCCCTAGAATTCACCCTGCGAATCCCTCCCCGACCACGGCATGCGTCACCGGCAGCACCAGGCCTTGTGTCAGGGCTGCATGAGGGCGGCTCCAAGGGGAAGCTGGCCAGGGCGGGGCGTGCGTGGGGCTGGGCGTACGCCGTGAGTGCGGCCTGCGAGTAGGAAGGCTCTAGCGGAATTGACTAAGGGTAGGTCGTCGACGGACCAGGCTGCAGATCCTGAGCTCAGGCTAACCTGCAGCTTCCCAGCATTGTGCCCAGAGCACCAGTGAGTGCTAGTACAAGACCCAGCACCCCGCATCTCCCAGTGCAGGCTGGGAGCTTGTTGGGTGCCCTCAGGCACCTGCCTAGGACACTTTGCACTCAGTATCAGATCCATTCCCCTTCGGACAAGCCCAGTTCCAGGTGAAAGTCTGCCACCTGCTGGAACGGCCGGGGAAATTACGTTATTTGTCAATTGCAGCAAGCGCACGGCACACGTTAAATGCAGTAGGGCAAGTGGAACGGCAGAGAACGAGCAGAAGGGAGAATTATGGGTAGGAGAGTCTCCTTGCGGTTCCTAATCCAAGGAACCAAAGAGCAAAGACATAACCGGCTCCACCGGAGAGGGTCATCCTGCCCATGGTCTATAGTGGAAGAGGCAGAGGGGCAAAGTTTGGAGTGGCTGTTCACGGCAGGCTGCATGCAGGCTCCTGGGACTGTGTGCGGTGTCATGAGAGACAGCATGGCCTCTCATGGGTTTAGGGTGGAGAGTTCTCCCACTCAGAAAAGGGAGGTGGCTGTGCTTGCTGAACACCAGCCGGCACCTGCCCTGGCACGGGAAATCTGGCTCCGTACATCCATGAATTCCACACTCCGCGTCTGACAATGGACTAATGGGCTCTTCTTGCATGACAAAGAGTAAGGTGCATCTCAGAGGGCAGGCCCAGATACAAAAGCAAGAATCCCCGCCCCTAGAATCCATCACACATCTTGGTCTCAAAAGGTGGCTTAAATTCAAGTTGTACAAGGTGGGTCGTGTGGGGCATTTGGCCTCTAGCCCAGGTATAAACCCCAGACACACTAATTCATTAGCTGAATGGCAGTTATTCTGGACAGACTTGTGGACAGAGTTTTCAGGTATCTAGCTTAAAAAAAAAAGATTTTCTAGCACCAGTGAAGCAGGGATGTGAACAGGTAACTGGTCACCTTAAGTGATGCTTATCGGGTAATGGTTAACTGTTACCTGGGAGCAGCCCTCCTTCCCCTCCCCCCCAGGCCGCTGCAGGTTGCTCCAATATCTCCCCCCCTCCCGGCTGCAGCTTTTGGCCCTGCGCAGTCTGGGAGCTGTCAACCCAGCCTGGGGTCGGAAACAGCTTTGGTTAAACTTAACATTTAACTGGTTAACTCATTAAATGGGATTTTACATCCCTACAGTGAAGTACATACGCACGCACATGCGTGCACACGCACAGAAGTTTTAATGGCTTATTTGCACGCGTGGATTTGCTGTTACCTGCTTCGCCCAAACAAGATTTCCCAAAAATGCCATAACAAGGCTCTGACGCTTATTTAAGTTTAGTTATACAAGTAGTATTCACTTTAGCCCCCTGGGGCAACGAAATTCCAGTGAGGAGTTCACTGAAGCAGCTGCTGATGTTTTAAGAGGATGCAATATTGCAGCAGCTCCATCCGCAGCCCGTGGGCACCGCTGATCTGCTGCCATAGGGACTCGCTTACACCCCATCCGAAGCGGGAAAGCGGGGCTGGTAGCCTTGCCCAGAGACAGGAAGCACGTGCGGGTCTTACCTATACCTCATGCCCGTTCGGCGCGCTGTGCACTCGTCCAGTGAGAGCCCGTGCATTCTGAGAAACTCTTCCATGGTTTTGGCCTGTGCTGCCACTCGGACATCTCGCAGGCGCTGCAGCTCCACCACGTCCGTGGGGCGAACCTGGTGGAGACCCCAGTCCGAGTGGTACCGGCTGGCCACGCTTCTCAGGCTCTCGCTGTAGGTCATGGACAGCATTCTGCTGCCTGATTTGGAAATCTGAAAATTTTTCCAGATATTAAACGCTTAACTCAGCCTACGGACATGCTCTGTGCCCTACTGGAGGCAGGGGAGGAGTAGCCACGACGGACCCTGTAGAGCACAAACTCACAAAACCAAACCTCCTCCTCTCCAGCTCAGACATGTCAGCCGCACTAGCGCAATGGCGCCTAGGCTCTCACACACGCTGGCCTCTTCTCCGGCCAGCAGAGCCCGACTGCTGGGAAGGGAGCCCTCAGAGACCTAGTTCACACGCCCAAGCAAACTGAAGTTGCCAGCAAGTCAAAAAGAAGCCTGAACTACTTTTAAAACAGCCAAATCAGTGAATTAAGCAAAACAAAAGGTTTCCACATAAAACCCAAGCTGCGCGGAGAATGCAGCAGGGAATAAAGCAGAGCGAGGTGGGCTTGCCAAGGGCAAGGTTTGAATCTGCTTTTGGTGGTACAATAATACGCTGCTGAACGTAGACGAAGCATTAATTTAGGTGTGTTCGGAGGTGATGCCTCCTGAGGAAACTCTCATTCCAGTGGATTTGGAACAGCAACAAAGCGGCATTTCCAAATGTTGGGGAAGAGGGTGTCTATGCAACCACCGGGATGTTTCTAAAAAGAAGAACGGGATGAATTGCTCCCGTAGTGCACGACCCGCTCCCGCTGAACTCAACGAGTCTTTCCTTTGACCTCAACAGAAGCTGGCTTGTGCGGAATCCTTTACGCTTGGATACAAAGCCCTGGTCTACACCAGGGAGTTCTTTCAAAATAACCCCCCTTGGGTCGAATTTATAGGCGGAGCATCCACACTGCCAAGCCCACTATTTCAAAATAAATATTTTGGGCCGCTTCTTTTGAAATCTGAATTCCCGCTTTTCTTGGGGAATAATGCTAATTCTGAAACCGTTATTTCGAAACAGTGGAAGTGTAGATGCTCCGGTGCTATTTTGAAATAACGACTCCCCAGAGTAATTCAAACTAATGACTCCCCAGCACATCCTGGGGCTCTATGTCGAGGTAGCACGTCCACATTAACAGTGCCTCCCTCGGACTAATTTCAAGGCTTCCCTGTAGCGAGGACACGCTATTTTGATTTTGTTATTTCGAGCGTTCTTATTTCAAATTTACTTATTTTGAAATAATTTCCTCACGTAGACATGCCCTAAGAGGCCTTCACTCTGAAAGGAGTTAGGAAAAGTTACAACAATGCCTTAGTTCAATACAGTACTAACCCACAAGCCAGAAACACTATGGCTGTGTCTACACTGGCATGAATTTCCGGAATACTATTCCGTTTTCAGTTTTTCCGGAAAAGGAGCGTCTACATTGGCAGGCTGCTTTTCCGGAAAAGCCCTTTTTCTGGAAAAGCGTCTGTGGCCAATGTAGACGCGCTTTTCCGGAAAAGAACCCCGATCGTCATTTTCGTGATCGGGGCTTTTTTCCGGAAAAGACTACTGGGCTGTCTATACTGGCCCTTTGCCGGAACAGTGTTCCGGAATAAGGACTTATGCCCGAGCGGGAGCAGAATAGTTTTTCCGAGCGTCGTTGCTTTTCCGGAAATTCAAGGGCCAGTGTAGACAGCTCGCAGCTTATTCTGGAAAAGCAGCTGATTTTCCAGAATAAGTGGCCCAGTGTAGACACAGCCACAGTGAATGCAATGACAAACTAACATGTTGCATTTGAAGCCAAAAAAGACCTGCAATCAAAGATATCATGCATTGTGATCACCTAAGATGTCTCCTGGTTAAAAATGAAGATTTAGGATTTCTACTTTGATGCCTACAGAATACATGCTGGCCATTATTTGCAAAATCTCTCAGAAAAGCCACCCCAACACCACTTTGTAATGGCACAGCTAAGCATCTCGTAGAGCGTTACATTCATTTCTCTCAGCAAAAAACCAAAAACAAATGTGATTTCTTCAGCTGCTCAAACTTCGGCGTATGCTAAGAATCGGTACTGTGTCACTTTCACAAAACTCTTGCGGGACAGACTCGTCAGATTCATAAACAGGGAGTGGTCCCGTGGCACCTGTCAGATTGAGGTTACAGATATTTTCATACTGCATGTCTCTTTTCTGGTTGCAGGACAGTAACATCCACATTATAAAAAGTTATTCCAATATATTCTGGCAGGCAGTCTGGAAATGTATCAAACAACAACGTGCTCCCTGCGTCAAGAAATTGTGCCAGTTTGGAGATCAAAACCTGGCTGTTTGTGGTTCTTTAGATTCCTAGAGGCCTCTGATATCACTGATCCTGGGTTTTTTAGTTGCTTGCGTGGTTTGCCACTCAATATCGGGTTAAATACATGCTCCTGAGAAAATGCCACTGAAAGAAAGTTCTTTGTGCATTGCACGGATTTGAGTGAACAACGTAAAAGCCAAAGTTTAATTTGGTGTCAATCAGAATTCCATGAGTGGAGCAGGCAGACAGAAAGCCAGATCCTCATCCGGTGTCAGTTAGACCAAAATGCAGGTCTGCCGTGCTAAACAAGTCAGCAATCTCATTTGTGCATAAAAGTCCCACTCACCAAACCCTCTCTCAATTAGAGCCGTGCTCCAAGAGAGCCCCTGAGTGACAGCTGGTTGCATACCCACCCCTTGCAGCAGCCAGCTCTTCAGAGGCAGATGCAATGTCTATGCAGCAGACTGCTGCAATCCATGCACTGAGCCAATACTTTTATCTGCAATAGCAGACACGGCACAGCATCATGTCATCGGATTTCCATCCAATGCAGGCTGCTGAAAAGAACCTGCTGACGGTGCAGTACAGAGAGGCTCTGTGAGCGACAGCACCCAAACCCCGCTGCCACAGCAGCATGCAGGGAGCTCTTAGGCAGCAGACAGGGAGAGCTTATGCTATTTCCCCAGGCCTTTTTGAAACCCTCGAAGTATATGGTGTTTCAGGGACCTATAGTTAAGCTCTGTGGCCCTAAGCAGGCACGTAAAGGACCCTGCTTGTCAGAGAAGCTGGGAGCCTGCAGCGCCCGTTGAAGCCAATGTGCCAGTGCTACGGGAAATCCAACCATGTCTTTAGATCCTAAGTAAGCTCCCCCTTTCGAAACGTTGGCCCTAGTATTTGTGGGTCACAGTGCACTGGACAGTATGGTGCACTCACAACAATGCTTAGGGGACTGGAGCACATGACCTACAAGGGGAGGTTGAGGGATTTGGGCTTATTTAATCTGCAGAAGAGTGACGGGGGATTTGATAGCAGCCTGCAACTCCCTGAAGGGGGGTTCCAAAGAGGATGGAGAGAGGCTGGTCTCAGTGGTGGCAGATGACAGAACAAGGAGCAACGGTCTCAAGTTGCAGTGGGGGAGGTCTAGGTTGGATATTAGGAAAAACCATTTCCCTAAGAGGGCGGTGAGGCACTGGGGTGGGTCACGTAAGGAGGGGGTGGAATCTCCATCCCTAAAGGTGTTTAAGTCCCGGCTTGACAAAGCCCTGGCTGGGATGATTGAGTTGGGGTTGGTCCTGCTTTGGGCAGGGGGTTGGACTCAGTGCCTCCTGAGGTCTCCTCCAGCCCTGGGATTCTAGGATTCATCTCTTACCCAAGGAAGCGGAGTGGTGTAGACACGTTTGGAAGCCCAGCACACAGGGTAATGGCTAATTGCAACTGCACACCGACACGGACGCAAGCTGCTTTCAGGGCCTTTCCAGTTTTCATCCAGGTAGGATCGAATACAGCTTCTCGCTGTTTTTAGGAATGAAAAATGAGGTGATCGGAACCTGGATCAAGTTATTATTTTGGGTGCAGAGGTTCCAATGAACAGCTCCAGAATTCGGCACTGAAGGTATTGGGAGAAACTCTGAGTCTGTTTCAGGTCTGCTCTCCCTCTTCTCAATCTTGTGCAAACTCAGAGTCTGTGGTTTGAACTAGAGAGTACACAGCTAGGATAACACGTTCCGAAATCTCACTGTGCTCGTCTCCAAAGAGGTGATAGATGGGGAGCAGGAACAGTGGTAGAAGCATCAACAATTCCTCTAGTGAACAAACTAGTTGGGTTAAGGCAGCATCAACACGTCAACACCACGGATGTCCATTATTAGATGCATTGATATAGCGTCAGTCTCAGTTTCTCAGCAAAACACAAGCCGTGAGGATGGTAACGCTGACTGCCTTTTATAATTGCTTGCTCTGAGACAAAACTCATAAGTGTCAGACGCAAGCTGGACTTGGCGGTATTTCGTCTCAAAGAGCACAGAAGATGCATCTCTTTTCCAACAAAATGCAACCTCAAAAGAATCAATAACCATTAGCGCGCAAGAAGTGAATGTGGAAAAACCCAAGAATTCCTGCAATAAAATTAGTTCAAGAAATCTTGTTAAAATCCTTGTTAAAAAATGTAATGTAGTGATCAAAACCCACCCTTTCACACAATGACTGGAAGAGTTAATAGCGGGACACACTGTGCAGAAGGAAGCAAGAGCTTCATAAAAATCACTGAAATTAGAAATGGAAAAAAGTACTTCAGCCTCTTGCCAAGCCAGACCACTTTTTCTGACTATATTTTGCAGTGCTCTGGACATCTGCAACACTCGTGTCTCATACGGCAACTGTGGTTAGGAGCTTCAGCATTTGATGGCCACGTTTTCCACTCTTCTTTCACTTTAGGTAGGAGGATTATTCTGTTTCCTGCTTCACTGTAGCGCTCCAGGAGTCCTACCGATTTTGGTGTGTAAGGGCCTGATCCAATGAATGAGAATTTCACCTTTGGGGTGGACTACATGAAAAAGGAAGGACTGTATTTAAAGAGTAAAAGCAGAAATTAGTAAACTCACTAGCATATATGCGCGTGTAGCTAGCTGCACAAGAATTCTTTGGATTGACATGCTACTAACCTACAACAAAAGACAAAGGTCTCAAAACCCTGATCATTTTTTGCTGCCTCTAGAATTAATATGCTGTTTTTCAAGCCCATTTCCTCCATGGACAAAGAATGAAAGACTAACAGAGTTAAACCACAAACAAAGCTGAATATCGACAAAGGGTGGACAAGTTTTTA